TCCTGTGCCGTACTTCCACTCTCCCAAACATGATGTCCCTCTCCAAGGACCAGCCCTTCCTTGCAACATGCCCTAAGTATGTCAGACGAAGCTTCAGAATCCTTGACTCCAAGGAACATTCTGGCTTCATCCTCTCCAGGACAAACCTGTTTGTTCTCCTAGCAGTCCATGGTATATTCAACACTCTTCTTCAGCACCACAACCCAAAGGCATCAATTATCTTTCTATCATACCTATTCACTGTCCAACTCTCCAATGCATAGTATGTAATTGCAAAGACTATACCCTGGATCAGGAGCACATTAGTCTCCAGCCTGACGTCATTGCTCTTCAGTATTCTTGAGAGGTCCCTCATAGCTGACTTTCCCAATGCAATGCATCTCCCGATTTCCTGGCTGCTGTTACCAAGAGTGTTGGGTGTGGAACCAAATACACTAACACTGTTAACTATCTCAAACTCTTCACCATCTGTACTGATGCTGCCAATTGCCCCAGTGAGAATCTTTGTTTTCTTGATGTTGCGCTTCAATCCTCTACACAATGGGAATTTTTATCTTTTCTGAAAAATAATCTGTTGCTTGCTTTATAGAAATTTACAGAGCCCAAGATTAGTGTGTGTGTGTGTGTGTGTGTGTGTGCGCGCGTGTGTGTGTGTGTGTGTGTGTGTGTATATATATACAGTAACTTATAGGCTAAATAGCAACAGTTTAACCAATGTAACATTTACTTCATGAAGTAATCACTTAAGTTGTTGTTACATGCCATCAAGTTACCTCCCACTCATAGCGACCCTATATTCAATAGCTCAAATAACACCTAATCCTATTGTTCCAGTTACCATGTCAATCTCTCTCATCTGGTGTCTTCCTCTCCTACACTGTCCCTCCACCACTCCAAGCATGGTGTCCTCCTCCAAGGACTGGTCCCTTCTGGCCATGTGTACATGTGAGACGAAGTTTCAAAATCCTTGCCTCCAAGGTGAAATTTGACTTCATCTTCTCTAAAACAGACCTCCAAGAAGGATTCTCCAAGAAGGCTTGGCCATCCATTTTTGAAATAACAGATCTTCAAAAAACTTATGTGCTTAAATTAATAGTTACATGATAAAAATAAAACATAAGCACATTGTAAATTGGTACCGTATATAGTTGCATATATTCTAAGTTAATAAAATAAGGATGTGTCTATATTCTCATGAATATTGCTTTTAAAAACAGAAAAAGTGCCATACATATATACGACATAACAAGGAAAAAAAGGCAAATAAAAATATTAGAAAACGCCTATTTAATCCACTAATGGTTATAACAACATCAGTGACAGAATACTTTTTTACATAATATTCTTTTCACAGCATCTTTCACATCTCTGTTTCTCAGACTATATATTAGAGGATTAAGCATTGGTATCACAAGTGTGTAAAACACAGCAACAATTTTGCTTTGCTGTGGTGAAGACATGGCTCCAGGTTGAGCATAAGTGAAGAAAACAGTCCCATAAAATAAACTCACCGCTGCTATGTGGGAGCCACAGGTGGAGAAGGTCTTATTCCTGCCCTGAGTTGAAGGAATCTTCAAGACAGTAGAGAGAATATAAGCATAAGATATCAGAATGGCCACTGTGGTAGAGATGACAATAAAAGCAGAGAGAACAAACAGTACAATCTCATTCATGAAGGTATCAACACAGGAGATCTCAATCAGAGCTGAAACATCACAGAAAAAGTGATCCAGTTGGTTTTCCTCACAAAAATGCAAGCTGAAGGTGAAACCTGTTTGGACCATGGAATTAATGACTCCACAGACATAGGATCCAGTAACCAAGCGGATACAAATCTTCTGGGACATGTGTATAGGATAGAGGAGAGGAGAGCAAATGGCTGAGAAGCGATCAAATGCCATTACAGCCAGAAGAAAGCATTCTGTAGTAACAAAGAGTGCAAAGAAGAAAAATTGGGCTGCACAAGAATTGTAAGAGATTTTCTTTTCTTTGGACATGAAGTTAGCCAGAGCTTTAGGAGCAATGACTGTGGAATAGCAGAGGTCTAAGTAGGACAAGTTTCTAAGGAAGAAATACATAGGGGTGTGAAGTCTGGAGTCCTTCTTAATGACAATTATCATGCTGATGTTTCCAACCAGAATGAGTATGTAGATTAGCAAGAACACTAGAAATAAGAGGACCTGTAGTTCTGGAATGGTTCTGAATCCCAATAGAATAAACTCAGTCACCTCTGAGAAATTCCTGTTGAGCTCACTCTTCATAGCTGTAGAATAAGTGCAGATGTTTGTTTTTGTTAGATGCCATAGAGTTCAATTCCTAGCTATCAAGACCCCATATGACAGATTAGAACTATCCTGAAGTGTTTTCTTTACTACGCTCATTATGAGATCCGCTTACCAAATCTTAATCCTTTGCAACACCTAAATAGAATTGAACCATTAGCATTTTCATTAGCAGTCTAGTTCTTAATCATTGTTTCACCAGGGCCAAGTGAAACCAGAGAGACAGAAAGCAAGTAAATAACCAAGTTACATCTACACCTCACTAATGGACTACCTTGTTATCTGACAATTTCCATATATGACAATGATAACAATTCCTTCATTTAGCTATTTTGCTAATTAGCAACATATATATCTGATAGTAACAGCTGCCATGGTGCAAGGTTACAGTAATGCTATCTGATAATGTATATGTCATTCTGGTTGGGTCTAATGATGTACTTTGGCATTTACATAATTATTTGATCATTTCCTGTTTTGTGCTTTGATGTAACTATTCTTAGTTTTCACCAAGCACTGATTTTCACAATATAATCTGGTGTTTGAAGCAGCATACTCATAATTAATAAGTGAGAAATTAGTGTTTTGTTTCAGTAAAAATAACAGAGCTGGTAAATACCATATAAAAATACTACCAATATTTAAAAAGTATCAATGAATACTAAGACTGGATTATTGTATAAACAGGTTTTCCTAGCGAATAGTTCAATTTGATAGGTTTATCTTTTAGACATATTGATTTGCATATCATGAAAATTAGCTTTCTAGTGGACACTGGGAAAGGGCGATATGGAGAAAAAAATATCTGGAACCAAGAATTTTATCTTTTAATTACTTAATTAGTTTTCCATTTTCTGCAATTGAAATTTACCTCCTTCAGTCTCAAAGACTGGCTTAACCATTCCGTATTTTCAGTTAGAGTGAAAATATGATGCAATTGGTAGTTTTTCTTTTCTAAAAATAAATAAAGTTATTTTAGCCCACTGTAGAAAAGCACAACATAATTTCATGTGTCTTTCTTCTAGTATATGAACAATTCCAGATATTATAAAAAGTTAAAGTAATAAAATCCATTTGAATTTTGAAAATTGGAAAGCCAGTGGGTGAGTCTAAGATCATAATCTGAGAATCTGCTATCTTTTCAAACAAAGAAAAATCAACTTACGAATAAAAAATCTATGCATATGAATAATAAGTTAAGCAGAGAAATTTAAGATAAGTATATATAAGTGTAATACATATGTACTTCCACAAGCTTGAATTTCTTTTTAGATGATCTTATGACTATAAAATATTGTTAAAATGTAATTGTGAATTCATTTTTATTCTAATTTTATAAATTATAAAACTTAGACAAGCACAGATTTATGATACTCTTTTAAGTCATTACAATAAACATATTGGTTTACAATTCAATATTCTATGGGTTAAAAACAATAGCTCACAAAAGATTTTAAAACTAACAATTCCCATACTAAGGAACTATCCTTAACTTATGGTTGTTATTTCTATGGTTACATCAATATTCTGACATTGATGTAGTTTGGTTCCATGGAAGTACATTACAATAAATTTTATACAGCTAATTTTTTTCTTTAAAAAAATTAAATTTTCACATAAACATTTAAAGATTTTGGAATTCAAAACAACTTATCAACTACAATTCCTTTATATTTTGCATAAGCTAGACTCTGAGTTGAAAGGAAAATTTTTATTATTGTAAAAAGAGAAATATGACTAATACAATCTAAAATAGAATTAAAGAATAAACCATAAATAGAGCACATTAGCAAGAACCAATGTTTTATCTTAGTAATATCTGAAGTTTAAAACATTAATGAATAAATAAACATACAAATGGAAAAAGAACAAACCTTTCTTAAAGAATAATTATATTTACTGATTGTTCAAGTCATGACTCATATTTGAAAAGATGAATAAATATAAGAGAAAGGGTAGCTTATCCTTATATTTATTTTTACTTGAATGTAGATTTACCATTGATGGCACCAGCAAATAGATGCAGTGTGGATCCTCAGAGAAATTCTCCTCTGGGGAGAGAAACCAAAGTAGTGGGCAATCCCTCTGCAATATACTCACCAGAGACTGAAGGCCCCTCTTACCAGTCAAATACTTTGTGTTAAAATGCTGAAAGAAAAATATTGGAAAAATATTAATGAGTAAATTTATCAGATATTTGAAAAGTTGAAAGTATTTACTGGAAGATATGTGAGTCACTCTTATTTTTAAAAAGTAATAATAGTGTAAGTAGCTTGAGAAGGGCTTGATTCTTTTGTTTCAATTATTTAGAGAGAATTATTAAATATTATTAATTTATTATGATACTTAACTAATAATAATAACCCTTTCATAAATTTATTTCTTATCTCAACTGCAATTGTATTATGGTCAATCAGAATTTACTTGGAAAAATAGAAATTATTATAATCCAAAATAAGGCAAATTAATATATGGAATAGTCTAAACAGTCCATGAAACAACTAAATAATTAAAAACAGAAATTATTGAAATGACACAAAGATTACCAAATAAAAATTTTGTGACAGATGGAGAGGTGATAGCAAAAGATGTGTGAAGCCAAGAGTAGGAGTCACAAAAAGGTTTGTACAGCAAGAGCTAGAAATAGAATGCATCCCCCATAGCTGATTTAAATTAAATGAAATACCACTTCTTTATTCCTCCACTCAGCCTTTTTAGTGTGAAAGAAGTGATACATAAAATGTAAACAAATGAGTCCACTGTCTAGACCAGAACATCAAAGGACCTTAAACATAATAAATGGAGAAAGGATTGATACTGTTAATTATTTCATCTTACTTGTATCCACAATTGACACTGTTGGTACTAACAGTCAGGAGATCAAGAGCTGTATTGCTTTGAGCAAGGTTTTATGGGACCTCTCCAAAAAATCAATGATGTCAATTTGTTCAATGAAAGCAATGATGTTAACTTGAAGACTAAGGTGCATCTGATTCAGATCATGTTCTTTTCAAATACTTACTATGCATCTGAGAACTGGACAAAGAATAAGGAGTATAGAAGAAGAATTAATGCCTTTGAACTGTGGAATATCCCATGTTTGACAAAAGAATAAAAGCGTATATTTTAAAATCAAAGATGGCAGAGCTTAGTCTTTCATAATTTGGATTTATTGCAATGAAAGACGATATCTTGGAAAAGGATATCATGAATGTAAAGGTAGAGGTTTAGCAAAAGACAGGAAGCTCTCTAAAGAGATGGATTGATATGGGCTTCAAGGGTTTCAGAGATGGTTAGATTGACACATGATAGAACAGGATTCAGATCTACCTTTATTACAGTTTCTATGAGTCTTGATAAACAAATTGAGATACTTGGGAGTGAATATAACTAGAGATACAAGAGACCTATACAAAGAAAACTGCAGAACATTTCTGAAAGACACAATAAAAGACCTAAAGAAATGAGAAAATGTGCCCTGTTCATGGATAATAAGACTCAATCTGGTGAAAAGATAATCCTACCAAAAGCAATCTACATGTTCAGTGCAATCCCAATCCAGATACCAAATTCATTTTTCAAGAAGATTGAATGGGAAATGATCACATTTATTTGGAGAGACAAGAAACTCCAAATATGCAAAACACTTCTGAGAAACAAAAAAAGAAGTTGGAGGCATAGCACTCCCTAACCTCAAAACCTACTATACAGCAGTGGTACCCAAAACAACATGGTACTAGTACAATGACAGGCACATCGACCAATGGAATAGAATTGAGAACCCAGAAATAGACTCAGCTATCTGTGGTCAACTGATATTTGACAAGGAAATCAAAGCTGTCAAATGGGGAAATGATAGCCTCTTCAACAAATGGCAAAACTGGACTTCCACCTGCAGAAAGCTGAAACAGGATCCACATCTCACACCATACACATAAATCAACTCAAAGTGGATCAGAGACCTGGAAGTAAAGCCCAAAACCATAATGTTCTTAAGAGACACACTGGATCTACAACCAGGAGAAGATAAAAATAGATGAATGGTACCTTTTAAGAATTAAATTTCTATGCACACCCAAAAACTTCTCCAACAGGGTAAAAAGGGAAGCCACAGACTGGGGAAAAATATTTGGGAATGACATGTCAGATAAGGGACTTATATCTAGAATTTATAAAATACTTGAGTACTACAACAAGATAAAGGTAAATAATCCAATTGAAAAATGGGCACAGGATATGAAGAGACAATTCACCATAGAAGACATTCAGCTGGCCAACAAGCACAAGAAGAAATGTTCAAAATCTCTAGCTCTAAGAGAGATGCAAATCAAAACAACTATGAGATATCACAGTAAGAATAGCAATACTTAACCAAACAGCAAGCAACAAATGCCGGCGAGGTTGTAGAGAAACTGGAACCCTTATAAACTGTTGGTGGAAGTGAAAAATGGTGCAACCACTGTGGAAGATGGCGTGGCACTTTCTCAAAAGGTTGCAAATAGAGATACCATTTGACCCAGCAATTCCACTACTGGGAATATACCCCAAAGAGACCATAACTGACACCCAAGCAGATACATGCACACCCATGTTTATTGCACTTTGTTCACAATAGCAAGGAGTTGGAAACAACCTAAGTGCCCATCAACAAACGAATGGATAGAGAAGCTATCGTATATTCATACCATGGAATACTATGCTGCATTGAAAAAGAAGGAACTCATAATACTCAAAACGGATGACCCTGGAAGACACTATGCTGAGTGAAAGATCTAAATCACAAAAGGATAAATACTGCATAGTGTCACTGTTGTAAAATGGGACTGACATCAGGATTGGGGGGAGACTGAAAAAGATGGGATAAATAATGTATACTGCATTGAAACAGATGAGGGAGAAAACTGTTTAAAAGGAATATGTGATTAGGTATTATTTTTATGACAGGAGTCTAGAACAAAGGCTGCATAGTGGATTGGATT